CAGCCAGTAGCCTATATATGCATGCCTATATATTATACCATATATGTATGCCTATATATGCAGTCACACAGTTTCATAACTGACTCACTGCATATTAACTGGGTCACCGATCAATGATGCAGAATGATCCAAGCGAGTCACTAATGTGTAAAATAAGCCGTAATATTGATTGGGCACAGAAACAAACATATATCAGTCTTACCTAGATGCCTGTTGAAACTGCTCAAACGACCCGACCCCCGCAGCTTTTTTATTCTCCACCCACCGCACCCAAGGTCGTAATTCACCGTACTTCGCCAAACATTGAGCGTTTTACGACTGATGAACGCAATTTCATGGAATCGCAACAACTACGCCAAAGATGCCGCCAGCTCAGTAACTGCCAACTTTTGGTACAGCATTCCAACTCTAGATTTGATTCCAATTCTGGTATACTTATAGTATGCTTCGATACCTACTAGGCAAACACTTTTGAGAAGCTAGTGCCCTATTCCCCTGCCCAAAACTGGCTCATTCTTACTTGCGGCGGTTTTCTTTATGAGCACGGCTCAGCGCTACCGCTTCCGCCCTGGTATGTAGTGCGTTCCAAGACGCGTTTCTGGGCTGGCGGGTGGAGAAACGGTTCTAAAAAAATATGAATGCTTAGTGTGATACGAGCCTTCGCCTGGGCTGCACCAACCCACGAGAAGACCCTGTCTTGATAATTTGCTGTTGGGTTAAGCGCAAGAAAGGGTTTCATCCGACATTTGCGAAATCCTATGCCATAAGTACAGAATTGTACGGAACTGGGCTATGGGATGCAAGGCACGCCCCCCCCCCCCCCCCCCTCCGGCTTATGCGGACGTGACTTGAACACCAATTGTTCGGTATCGTTCGATCGTTCAACACGCATCCGTCGGCTGCTGCTATATTTTGAGGTTTGAATATCGGGCCAGGAAGAGGACATACGCGTCCTCTCCTTGGCGTCGCTCGCGAGACAACTGCCCCCGGTTACCGGGCGGCGCGGCCCCGCACAGGACACGACACATGTGGCGCAGTTTCCGGGCTGGCCGTAGGGCCGGGGCCGCAGGGCCGGTAAACAAACAAAACAAATCTAAAGGGAAACTCGACAGGGGACCGAGAAATGGAGAAAAAACAGAAGCTCAGAGACAGGACAGCAAAACCGACCTTTCACAAAAAAGGAAACCGTGGTAAAGGCGATTTGTACGGAACACCAATGACTGTTCAGTTTGTGTCCAAATGACAGTTCGGCTTGATACCGAACTGACAATAATTGGTGAATGATACTTGTAAAAGCGGTGAGAAAGTTGCCGGAATGATATTAAGCCGATATGCTGCAATGACGGTGGCAAAACGGGGGGTGCGGCGCTCGTAAAAAAAAAAAACTTCTTAAAAATTTAGTTAATGCAAAACATTTCATCCCCCATGGTGGCGGGTACGACTTCGCGTTTCGGCATGAAGCGCTTGTGGGTTTCGGCACGTGCGTGGGCGTTTCGGCCGGACAACGGACCAGTAGCATCCTTGGGTGGGCACGGGTTCCAGGAGCGCAACCAGAGACGTGGGCAAGGGGGGGCAACAGGGTTGACAAAGGGCCCCGCTGTTAGTAAAAAAAAAACACATATATATGTGTATATATATTATATATATATATAGATATATTATATTGGCTATAATAAACACAAGACTGATAACATATAGCATATATTACCTATTGTTACCTTTTATAACTGAAGTGGAGGTAAAAAAAAACCGCAAGATCAATTCTGCCTGACGTTTTTAAATTCAACGAACCGAAGAAGTCATGCATTAAATGACTGCATGACATAATCGATGGTGCTTTTCGTCTTACGATAGTCTGGTGGACTGTTTTTAAACCGATATAGGACGAAGAAACTTTGCCAGAGTTTTTTTCTGGATTTTACAGATATACTAGGGACCATGTGAATATAGATCATAGCTAAAAATTGGTCAACATCTTTTATTGCCTTGATTAAGCCATGCTTGTCTGCAAATGTTCAGCATTCAGTCAGAATCGATTGGTGGTACAAATTTTGTACGCAGGTTTGAACGTGCCCGCTCGCAAATCTTACAAAAACCTCGACGCCAGGCGTTGCAGCCTCCTCAGGCCGCGCAGCATCGGCCCCGCGACCAACACTAGGCTGTAGCCTACAGGTGGACGAAAAAGATGATGCATTTGAAAGAAGTACCTTTGAGCGCTTTAGGACACAAAATAGCACATATAGAGATATTCCGGGTGCACATTTCACCTATGTCATTTTTAGATTTATGATAATAAGAGGTTGGCTTGTACAACACCGCGAAATGGTCCTGGAATCTGGTGGTGAAATTGGAAGAGTAAAGCTAAAATTTCTTTTTGTCTTGCTACTGTAGATGTTAAGCTGTCCGCAGGACAACCACACAATTGTAAAAAAATGATTTGCTCAGTGTAATCTTTGAACCGTACGGCTTGATTTTGAAAGGAATTTAGAGACATCATTTTGCGATGGTCGTTGTTGCGCGATCCTCTGGCCGATCCGGAACCCCGTAGAGGGATGCATTATATCGCATTGGTCCACTCCCTGACGCGGGGGCCTTCTGACCCGCGCAGCTGACCCCGGACCGACGTATGAACTATCATTGACGCAACAACATCCCTGACAGCCGCAGGTGGTCAAATAATTGGCACATAGATCCGCGTTCGGCTTAACGGGCCCATTCTGCAGTTGGGTCGGAGGGACCAACGTTTGGTACGGGGGCCCTGACTGGCACAGCACCCTTCATTGCCTCAGCATGACCACTCATCAAATGTTTCATTAAATCGTCAGGAGGCCCCAACCAACGCGGGAGGCCCTTAGTCATTCGGGCTCCCGTCCCCGTCCCTGCTCGCAAATCTTCCCCTGGCCGATTCGAGGCCATTTGTTGATACAGATACCCTGTTGGGCACTGTGGGCCCCTGAGCGATATAGAAGTCCCGACTGATGTAAATCGCCCGCCCGGCATTGTCCCTTCTTGGGAAATGGGCCCCCAGGACTCAAATCAATTGGGAGCCCACTGTTCGCTGTTCGTGACTTCTGGCCGAAGTAAAGGAGCGCTCTATCTCAGGGGTCCCTATCGGTGTCAGCCATCTGTTACTAACATCTGAGATCACTGCCCCAGGATCGGGCATTATTTGCCCCGGGACCACCGCCCCAGGATTGGGCATTATGTGTCCCGGGATCACTGCTGCGGGATTATTTGATTGGGAGGTGGGTCCTCAGGACCATACCGACACGGAGCCAACTATGCGGTACTGGTGGTACCTGACCGAGACATGGGCCCATATCGATTTAAGGGGTCCCCGATCGGTGCACAGGGTCCCTGGCCGTTATTTGAGAGTCCGCCTTCATAGGCTGGGGCCTCCGAATCAGACTCCGACTAGCCGTTTGTGCCCTTAGACCCTGCAATCGGGCCCTTGATCATCGGACCCTCTTCGGCCCTCCTCAGTCACTGCCTGTGGCCGACTCGGGGCCCTTGCCAACACAGGGCCCCTGTAAGGCTCTGTAGGGCCCCGACGAAATATAGGCTCGTGTCGACTCAGTGGGACCTTGACCAGTGCGCAGGGCCTTCTGACTGGCATTGGAGTGCCCGGCCCTGCGGACCGAGGTCTCTAGATGCGACCTCCGGCCGGTCTTCCGGGCCCTTAATCGTAGGTTCCGAGGGCGCCGAAGGGCCCCGCGGAACCCATAGCGGGAGCACGTGCCTCCTGTGCCCCCCCCCCCCCCCCCCCGCTGCCTGCGTTACCGCACAGGCATTGCTGGGGTTCAGGGCATCGCTGTATGGAGGCGCCGCGCCCCTCGCCGGCACCGTCTGTCGAGCGATGTTCTAGCCCGTAGGCGACGGCGGGCGCCCCCTCCGATCTCTCCTGTTCGCGGGAATGACCGCCGTTGAGGCATGTGACCTCTTAACCGCGGGGCATGTGAAATCCGGAGCACAGATTTCGAGTCACTTCATGCTGTGGCGTCCCCGGAATAGGTCCTTAGCAATGTTGGCAAAATTCACAAAGAATGGACTCTAAGACGCAGCATGGATTCTGCAATTTCTCCTGGGCAACGGAACAACTTAGCGCTGCAGCACCTCAGGCGACGTCTCAGTTTAACATATATTGTTAATTTCAGTTCGTCATACCCGTACCAGCCTAGTTCTGAGCACAAGGCCAATGCTGGATCGTCCTGGTTGACACCACAACTGGGTAATGACAATACTTCAGTTAGCGGCAGCTCACTCGACGAAGAAGCACTAGGCAGCACCACAAACGGGATCTCACAGAATCCGAACCGGGATGGCGAGGCGCAAGCTGCCTGCGTTGCGGCCGTCACCTGGAAATCCGTCCCTATCGATATCGCGGGAAAGCTCAGAGGGCATGAGGGTGTCTGTTAAAGCGTCATCTAATCTCAACATCGTTTGATTATGGTGTGCGCGTGCGTGCGTACGTGCGCGCGCGCTTGTGTGGGGGAGGTTCTCATGCGTCGTCATCGTTTGCATATAATCACGGAAGTATGGCAAGCTTTTAAGCAAATGTAGCATTACAACTTTACTAGTTCTATTATCGATGCGGGTCTCGCTCTTTAGACAGTGAGGACCGTGTAAACCAGCGGGCCAAATAATTATAGGTGACGATCTCTTATGAAATGCTCTCGGTTAGCAAATAACTCGAGCTGCTTTGCAAATGTGCACCACTTATCTGCCCGATCCGCCGCGTATCTCCCTCTTTCTCTGCGATTCGTGGCCGGCTAACCTGCGCGGAGCACGGCTGAGGCCCGCCGACAGTTTGTTATACTGATCTATTTTCATAATACTCCAAACTTGCATTTCCATCGCGCCTCTCACCGGCTTAGCTGGGCGTATCCGTGTGTTTGCTCTCGGCGGGCGAGGGGCGATGTACGTCCGGAGCGTTCGTCAACGGTCCAAAGCGCTGCACAGCCAAAACTGTCGACTGCTTCCCACTCATGGGAGAAACCGGCGAGTGGGCATTCGGTGTTTATTATTAGTCCATTCGGGTCCGCTACATAGCTTAGCTCATTGAAAAGGGGTAGTCATAACGATCGAGTGCTTCGATCAGCAGATGTAGCGCTCCACGTCTGCGACAATGCTGCCTGTCGGGGTCGGGCACGACCCCTCACACCGAGCCGGCGCATCAACTGACCCTGTCAGCTGATATGTCAAGGCCACCCTGTGCGTCGGCGCCCTCGGCCAGCACGACCGCGCCGCGCGCCTGGACGGGTGCCATCACAGTCAGTTGAGGGCGCGCCACCGTCATAACTCCCGCCCCATCCTGCGCCTCTCTCAAACACTGTCCGAAACACCACCGTCGGATTGCATACTCACAATGGCGCGCTCACACGTTCGTGTTCGCTATCCACACTTCCTTCTTCCATTCGCATAACTTCCACCTGTCCAGCATTACGGGATCATCGAAAGCGTGTCAGGCCGTGGCAAAGTCGCACAGCAACGTTAACGAGTAAGCCAGCAGTTCCCAGCTGCACAGGAAGCTGCCTCGCACGCAGACACCCGCCTACTACGAACAACGGGTCAGCGCCTGCCCCAGCACACGCACATGTCTCGTCAGCCATCGCTGGAGCGGACGGCGACGCGGTGCCAAGCTATCATGCGTGGAATGGAACGCTCCCGCCACACACCGACACGCCGTGTGGCTCTCGAAGGGCCCCCATGTGTCATGTGTGGGTTAGAACACACAGCCGAGTGGGCCCACGGTGTCATGTGTGAGTTAGAACACACAGCCGTGTAACAAATCTCCGCCGGGAATGTCCTCCCAGGAATGTACGTCAGTTCACGCGCACGAAGCGCCTTCGGAATGACAACACCACGCCGGCGCCTCGCCGACGCTGCTGCGGCGACCAGCGGCCGCCCGGCGCTCCAGCGCACACCGGCGCCGTACCTCCGCTCATACCCGCTATGGCAGACGTGCGCTCACCGCGCGCTGACCCGCGCCATGCGCGCCCCGGCGCGGCGGCCAGCCGCTACTTGGGCGAGCCGGGCTGGCCGGTGGGCGACTCGAGCGAGCCCTGAGACCGCTTGATGTACAGGCTGAGCAGCTTCATCTTGGTGGCGTTGAGGGAGGCGAGGTGGGGCTGCATGGCCTCCTCGCCGCACAGCGTGTGGATGGTGACCATGCAGAACACGGCCGCCTTGCGCACCGACGACTCGCTGTTGTCGTACGCCTGCGACGGGAGGCACCGTCAGTGGGCAGCGGGGAATACAGACTCGGTGTCTGACAGAAGAGTGCAGACCATCCGCCCAATGACAGCCCGCTGCTGAAGGTCAGCGTGAAGGCCAGACAACAGCAACTCGAGCGAACGGTACAAGTCCAAGCCCACACTGCGCGCATAAACTCGACCAGGCACCGGGCAAATGAAAACAAGACCACGCCATAGGTAACGTCGCACCCACCTCAGCACACCCGGCCCATCAACCCCTCGTCCTTCCGTCCCCTTCCAGCGCCCACCCCCACCCGCGTCACCTTCAGCAGGCTGGGCATGATCTCGGGCAGGAAGCCGAGCACTAGCTCGCGGTTGTGCTGCTCCACCAGACGCGTCAGAGTCTTGATGGCCGCCTGGTTGACCGGGTAGCGGCCCGTCTGCACCAGGCCGTTCAACACGCGCACCACGCTGTCGGGCGGCAGGCGCCCGGCCATGGCGGCGGCGCACTGCTCGGCAGCGCGCACCACGTCCCGCTCGCTCGGCTCACAGTGCGCGTCCAGCACGCGCACGAACACCAGCTCGATGTACGGGTGGAAGAGCGGCGCCACGCAGTCGCGACGCAGCATCTCGGTGAAGGCCGAGAGCACGAGCTCGCGCGCCGGCCCGGCGCCGTCGCGCAGCGTGTCCAGCAGCGGCCGCAGCAGATACCTGTCGTCAGACGGCGGTCAGGGACGTGGCCGGGGCGCTCGGAGCCAAAGACCGGATGAGACAGGACAGTACGACGAAGGGACACATTGCGGGTATTCTGAACACAGTAGACAGCAAAACGCACTATAGCTAGACGCAACCAAGGTGGATATTCGGGAGAACAGAACGGGATTGTAATGGACGAGCAGTGGTGGGAAAAAGACAGCGAACAGCAAGGACCTCGCATGGAGAAAGGACCGCACCACGCCACGTAGCTCAAAAGAGCACACATTTATCACAACCGGCTTCCAAAGATTGCAACTCGTGATGGCTGCTTACACCTAATGCGGGCCACGCGGCGCTCAAGAAATGACTTGCAACAATACTGCGTTAAAGGCACCAAACGACGCATGAAAACTGTACGGCCGTCCCTCCATCAGCCGCCCACCTGCCCGGCTCCCCAGCCAGCTACTGACGGCCTCGGTCTGTCCTCGGCTTTCAGCCAGCTGTGGACCGCTCGGTCCGTTCCCCGGGCTCCCCGGCCAGCTGTGACCGCCTCGGTTCCGTCCCCAGCTCCCGGCCAGCTGTGGACCGCCTCGGTCCGTCCCCGGCTTCCTCAGCCAGCTGTGACCGCCTCGGTCCGTCCCCAGCTCCCCCGGCCAGCTGTGGACCGCCTCGGTCCTCCGTCCCCAGCTTCCCCAGCCAGCTGTGGACCGCCCTCGGTCCGTCCCCGGCTCTCCGGCCAGCTGTGGACCGCCTCGGTCCGTCCCCGGCTCTCCGGCCAGCTGTGGACCGCCTCGGTCCGTCCCCAGCTCTCCGGCCAGCTGTGGACCCGCCTCGGTCCGTCCCCGGCTCCCGGCCAGCTGTGGACCGCCTCGGTCCGTCCCCGGCTCCCCGGCCAGCTGTGGACCGCCTCGGTTCGTCCCCGGCTCCCCAGCCAGCCGTGGACGGCCTAAGTCCGTCCTCAGCTTCCCAGCCAGCTGTGGACCGCCTCGGTCCGTTTTCAGTTCCCCAGCCAGCTGTGGACCGCCTCGGTCCGGATGCCGGCGGGTGCGGGTGCCGCCTTCTCACCTGAAGTGCTCGCTCCAGAGCCGCTCGGAGCCCAGCTTCGCCAGCCGGCAGACGGTGATGAGGGCGGCGCGCCGCTCGGGCGCCGCCGGCTCCGGCGGCCGCTCCACGTTCAGCTCGGCGCGCACCGACGCCACGAGCGCCTTGCTCGTCGGCCGGCGGCTCGCCGGCGGCGGGCGGCCGGCCGGCCGGCGAGCCGCGTCGCTCCAGCGGCAGCGACATCTGGCTGATACCCGAGTCCTGCGACGTCGAGTCGCGCTCTCGCTTCGTACCGTCCGGGCCGTCCAGGCCGCCGCCCGGTATCTCGGCCGGACCGCGGCGCAGCGACCTGGGCAGTACAGAGAGTTAGGGTGGCGAAAGGTGGGGGGAGGCGGTACATGACCCCGGGTTAGCGGTACGGAGGGTCAGGGGTGGCGGGTCGTGAGAGGGGGCAGTACAAGACTTCGGGTCAGCGATACGGAGAGCCAGGGTGGCGAAGGGTGAGAGGAGGCGGTGCAAGACCCCGGGTCAGCAATACAAAGGGCCAGGGGTGACGAGGGCGAGAGGAGGCGGTACGAGACCGGCGAGTCGGCGGGCCTCCATAGCCTGGATGGGGCTGGGGCCGCATACCTGCGGGCAAACGCTCAATACCAATGAGAGGCGTGGAAGTGGCCAATTCGGCGGGGACAGCACCTGCTGCTCCCTGCCTCTGCTGGTGGCTACAGGTGGTCCACGCGAACAATAGGTGGGCGAGGCTAACCGAGAGGACCGCTAACCCAACCAGCCCAACCCAACTGGCTGATATCAGCTTTCCCGCTAACCATTGTTTGTGTATTACTGCTTCAGGGTGCATCAAATATTTACATACCCCAAGCTGAGCAGGATGGGCGATGACATAAGCACGCCCTCCGAAACGCGCCCAGGCCGGCGCCCTCCGCTCCAGCCGCCCACCTGCTAATCTCCTCCGGATGGAGGTTCTCCGCGTCGCTGGGCGCCAGGCGCGGCCGCGCGGGACCGCGCGGGCCCGGCGAGCCGCCATTGGACGAGCAGGGCGAGCGGGCGCGCATCAGCGCCGCCGATTGGTCCACGCTGGCCCGCCGCCGCATGTGCTGCTGCATGATGTCGGACGCCGTGTCCTGGCCGAGGCAGCCGCGTCAGAGGTGGGGCGGCGCAAACGTTCGCAAGCGCGGATTACGCGGACAGAATCTGAGGCTTGGCAAGCCGTGGACGTTCGCAGGTACGGGTTGCGCGACGACGTAGAGCCTGAGGCTTGACAGCAGCCAGCCGTGGTGAGTCAAACGCTGCCATCAGTGGACATGCCGACCACCCTCTGTTACTTGGAGGGAGAATACTACTGGCCCGTAGCCCCAGCCGTTCCACCTCACCTGGTACATCTTGGATAGCTGCGACAGAAGCATAGTGAACTCGGCTGTGTTCAGGTCGAACATGGCTACGATCACTGCTTTGGCACCGTTGCGTGTCTCCACCGACTTCTGGTCGCTCGTCCAGCCGATGATCTGCCGACAGTAAGCCACTCCGGTCAGGGCGCTGTACACCACCCAGCCCAGTGACACATTTAACCACGAGGAGCCGCCAGTGCTCCTGGTGGTTAAATGTGGAGCTACCGAAATGCTGAAATGCTCCGCAAGGTGGAACTGCCGAAATGCCGGTGTCACTTTCCCGTACCCTAGCGGCAGCCCCTGTCACATCTCGTACCCTAGCGATAGCCCCTGTCAAGCCCCGTACCCTAGCGACAGCCCCTGTCACATCCCGTACCCCAGCGATAGCCCCTGTCATGCCCCGTACCCTAGCGACAGCCGCTGTCCCATCCCGTACCCTAGCGATAGCCCGTCATGCCCCGTACCCTAGCGAAAGTTCCTGTCATGTCCCATACCCTAACGACAGTCTCTGTGAAGTCCCGTACCATAGCGACAATCCCGGTCATATTCCGTATCCTAGCGACAGTCCCTGTCATATTCCGTACCCTACCGACAGCCCCTGTCACATCCCGTACGTTAGCGACAGTCCCTGCCACGCTCCGTACCCTATCGGCAGTCAGCAGCAGTTTCCGCGCCTCAGCGACACCCAGCGACCAGCCCGTGCCTCGGCGACGGCCAGCAGCAGTGTCCGCGCCTCGCGACCAGCCCGTACCTTGGTGACGGCCAGCGGCAGGTCAGCGTCGACAGCGAACTCCGCCGGGTCCATGCTCTCGAGCAGGGCGCGCAGGTACCGCAGCGTGGCCGCCTTCACTTTCGTGTTGGGCGTCTGCGTCTGGTCCAGCAGGAAGCGGCACAGGCAGCGCAGCTGCATGCCGGCCGGAAATGACACCCTGCGACCGCCGGTCCACGTCAGACCCGAGCTGTCACTGTATATGTCTGTCTGGCTGTCTCCAGTCTCCGGGCGTGGCAGTTGTCATGCAGCAGCATCGGCGAAGCACACTGAGTGTCATCGGTGAGTTGTGCAAGCATGCTTTTGGCCGAAGAAGATTGTCCGTCCCCAAATCAGTACGACGCCCAATTTATCACAATGGTGGCGGGTTGAAGCTGATGCCACTGAGCAGCATAACGATCCACCGACGACGCAGACGCTCTGCCGCGCATCACACCACATCCCTGCCGTTTCCACCACCCCTGGCGGCGGCCAAACCACCAAGCAGCCGCAGCACGCCGCCGCCGGCCGCACAGGGCCGTGCCGGGCCGCGTCGGGCCGCACCGGGCCGCGCCGGGCCGCACAGGGCCGCACCGGGCCGCACAGGGCCGTGCCGGGCCGCGCCGGGCCGTGCGAACACACAGAGCGCCGCCCACCTGACTGTGTCGAGCGTGCGCTCCAGCTTCTGCACCACCGAGCCGAGCAGGTCGGCGCCCAGCTTGTTCAGCAGCCGCGTGATCAGGATGTACAGCCAATCGGCCAGGTCGTCGTGGTGCTGCACCACCAGCTCCTGCACCGCCTCCAGGAAGATGCTGAACACCTGCGACGGCACACAGACCGCATGATGATGCGCAGGGCCCACGCGGCACGGGGGAGGAAGGCATGGACAAGGAAGACAAGTATCTGACATTAACAGCAGCATGGTAACGGAACGGGAACGAAGTATGGGCAAACACCGACGTGGCCACAAATAACTTAAGACGGGAGAAACGGCAAAATGAACGAAAAAACTCCACTTTGTGCGTCTCCGTACAGGGGAGCATGCTGTTCACAAAGGCACGCTCGTCGCTTCCACTTCCCTGAACCACCAACTGCGCCAGCTCGACCCGTCAGCGCGTGCGCCCCAGACGCGCGGCCGGCCGCTGGGAGCCCACCTTGGTGTGCGTGTCCATGAACATCTTGGTGAAGAGCTCGGTGACGCGATGCAGCTCGGAGGCGGTCAGCATGCGGTTAGACCGCAGCACGGTGCGGAACGAAAGCAGGCCCTCCTTGCGGTCCGACCACTCGGTCGACGCGATCAGGTTGATCACTTCACTGACGTCCTGCGGGGCGGAGACGGCCGGGGATGAGCCGAGCTGGCCGGCTCGCCGCCCGTGCGCGCGCGTCTCGTACCGCTCGCCGGGTCCGCGGAGGGCCGGCGCTCTGGTCATGGGGAGCACGGGGCATCGCGGCGCGGGTCAACATGCGAGCGCGACGGCAGACTTCACGATCCGCGAGATGGTGCTGTCGGCACATGACACGCCGTTACGCAGCAGCCACTGACAACGCGATGAGCCTGGCGAGTTGTCTCACGGTGTGACGTTCTGTGACCTGTCCAACGCAGGCGGGTCCCGCCACGCTGAAAGAGGCGGGGGTCGGCGGACTGGGGGCCGGGGGTCCGAGGCAGGGGTACGTACCCGTCCGCTGGGCTCGCGCACGCTGCGCAGTCGGTTGGACTGCTGGCCGTAAGGCACCCCGGACCAGCCGCCGGCGTACTGCCGACGCCGCGCCGGGAGGCAGACGAGACACGGTCAGGCGTCGGCACACAGACTCCCGACAGCGGACCTCCGACACACGACACACCGACAACGGACACACCCGCGTCATACGAGAGACGCAGCGTTTCGGTCCGGCCGAGATCGGCCAGAGGACGCAATACAGCGGGCGAGGACTTCCTCTACAAACGGTGGGTGAGCCGGTAAGACCACGCGGATGGGTGGCGACACATTCAGACGCAAAACATTGCACGATGTAAGATGCTCACATCAGCAGGCGCTAATACCTGACGGAGTCAGGCTCAGCAAACGGCACAACCCGACGACAAAAACAAAAACCATCGCGTTAAGACTAGCAACTCGCCTCCATGACAACAACCAACCGTCCGCCGGCTCTGGAAGCCCCAGTCCCAGACAGACATTCGGTGCGGAGCAAGCCGAGCCCGGGAAGCCCAGCACGGCCTGGTCGATCGCCCCTCCCCTCCCGTCCCTTAATAAGGTCAGCACGAGGCAGAGCTGGACGGAAGGACAGAGGGAGGTCAGCACCGCCCAGCTGCCTCTCAGAGGTCCAGTGATCGATCGGCCGCGGCCGGTCCGACTCTGCGCGAGACGCCCCGCCGCCAGCACGGGGAGAGCTCGGAGCGCGCACAAACGACACGGACAGCGAGACGAGGGAGAGCGCGTGGGGGACGGCGAGAGCGAGAGAGGTGAGAGTGAGAGCATGGCGAGCCCGGACGAGAGAAACGGAAGCAATGGGGGCGAGTGGGGCGGAGAGAACATGCAGAGATGGGGCCCGGGTGAGGGTAGCGCCAGCGGGCGGAGAGAGCGAGGGGAGCACGCGCTACTCACATCGCGTCGGTGTGCCGAGTCGTAAGAGCGCTCCGAGCAGACGCTGCTCGTCTCGCTCTCGTCCGAACGGTCGTCACAGGAGCGGGCCGGCCGGGAGCGCGTCGTCGCCTGCGGACACATGGCCGCCCGTCAGTCAGCGGGGAACGGGGGAGGGGAAATGGACTGGGACCCGGACACGGACACGGACACGGACACGGACACGGAAACGGACACGGACACGGACAGGGACAGGGAAAGCGACAGACAGACAGGGACAGCGACAGGGACAGGGCCAGGGCCAAGAGACTGACAAGCGGACCGTTTCATCACAACCAAGGACAGGAACCGTGATGCCCCAACAGTGCGACGAGAGAAATGCTCTGCAGCTGAGTGCTGGGCTTTGACGGATGTGACAGAACATAGCCACAGCACCGCTGTGACAAACGTACATGGTGCGCCCCTGACCGAGACGCAGGTACAGAGCGTTCCCCAACGAACGCCTCTGCCGGCCAGCTCGCGAGGCGCAACCTCCGTAACAGTTGTCAAACAGACGCCGCAGGGCCCAGAGTCTGTCCTCGGCCGGTGTGCGGGTCAGCCGGGACCCGGCCGGGCCGGCGGCGGAGGCAGCGGGCGAGCCTCACCAGCGCGTCGGCCAGCGCAGACTCGGCGTCGCGGCTCTGCTGCAGGATCTTGTGACTCATGCCGGGCCGACCGGTGCCACCCAGGCCGGCCCAGCCGCCTGTCGACGGCCTGCCGACAGAGGACGGGTCACGCCTCCAGCCGGGGGGCGGCAGGTCGGTCATCAACGCGCCACCCAGGCCGACTACAGCGGACGCCGGCTAACGGTATTTACCAGGCGGAGTGAATGGCATATAGAACTACCTACGTCTTTCGAAGCGTGAAGTCGCGTCGGAATATCAAAAAGCCTAGCAGCCACGCCGTGCAGACCCAATACATAAACAGAGTCATCAGACGTGCCTCATCCCATCCGCCCGAGGCCGCTGATGGAAAAACCGGCCTTCGTACGGCCACTGAGGGTCGCAGACCCCATGCACACGTGACTGCAGCATACAAATTGAGCCAATTGGGGCATCCTGTGAGCAACAGGCTGTCTGAACAATCAGCCCACAGCCGTAAGCTGACCGTCGAGTGCTGTAATCGGCGTCATGCCTGACGGCCATCGCTGTGCCGCGGGCACAGCACGCTCCCCAGCCCGCTTGGCGGCAGCCTAGTCCCGCGACTGCACGGCGCCCGCACCTGGGCAGCGGCCACCGCCAGCTAACGTCCCGTCTCCCCTCCGCCGTCCGCCACTGACATCCTGCCCCCCCCCCCCCCCCCCCCCCACCCCACCCTGCCGCCCACCGCCTGCCGCTGACAGCTCGCCTCCCCTCCGCCGCCCGCCGCCCGTTGGAGACACCCAGCCTCCCTCCGCCGCCTGCTGCTGACACCCAGCCTCCCTCCGCCACCCGCTGCTGACACCCAACCTCCTCTCCGCCGCCTGGCGCTGTCATCCTGGCTCCCCTCCGCCGCCCGGCGCTGTCACCCAGCCTTCCCTCCGCCGTCCGCTGCTAACACCCAGCCTCCCTCCGCCGCCCGCTGCTGACACCCAGCCTCCCTCCGCCGTCCGTTGCTGACACCCAGCCTCCCCTCCGCCGCCCGCTGCTGACACCCAGCCACCTCTCCGCCGCTGTCACCCTGGCTCCCCTCCGCCGCCCGCTGCTGACACCCGGCCTCCCCTCCGCCGCCCGGCGCTGTCACCCAGCCTTCCCTCCGCCGTCCGCTGCTGACACCCAGCCTCCCTCCGCCGCCCGCTGCTGACACCCAGCCTCCCTCCGCCGTCCGTTGCTGACACCCAGCCTCCCCTCCGCCGCCCGCTGCTGACACCCAGCCACCTCTCCGCCGCTGTCACCCTGGCTCCCCTCCGCCGCCCGGCGCTGCCACCCAGCCTCCCCTCCGCCGTCCGCTGCTGACACCCAGCCTCCCCTCCGCCGCCCGCCGCTGGCGCCCTGCCTCCAGTCTCTCTAGCCTCCAGTCTCGGCCGCTCACCTGGCGCGCAGTGCGGCGGCGCCGGGCCCGGTGGCGGCCGCCCGGTGCGGCGACGGCTCGCGCGAGGTGCCCGTCGAGCGTGGTATGCCGGAGCGCCGCCGCCGCCGGCCCAGCGTCTGCGAGTCGACCGGGGACGCCGCCGCCGTCGTGTAGGTGGCGTAGCTGAGCCGGGAGGATGGCGAGCCGCTCCGGCTGCCCGCTGCCGAGGTCAGGTCAGGTCAGACCAGGGGGTACGGAGACGCACCAAAGGTGAGATGCGGCACACACAGCGTCCGCCGTCTGGATACATCGGCGTTCTTCCCACTTGGCAACATGCTTGCGGCATGGAGCCACAAATACGGGAGTCGTCTGCTGTACTATTCCGGAAACTTACTTTCCATGCCCGACTAAAGTAACGGGGAAAACGAGCCTTTCGGGTGGCGCAAGGCGCCAACCGACAAAATGCACTGACAGGTAAAACGTACCCGACACGGCATGCTCCAACACGCGGCTCTGGCTCACACCGAGAGTCCCGACTGAGCACAGCCAGCCTGGCATGCTGCCAACGCGCGAGGAGCACTCACAGAGTACACGAATCGTGCTGAAACGACCTATGTGGCCATAACGGTACCTGTGCATCGATGAAACCCTACGTGCGGACTGGGACTCTTGAGCCTCAGGACAGGCGGGGCCTGGCCTGGAGCTGTTTGTGTGACATCAGCGCGCGGGGTGCCGCCGATCAGCGCGGCCCGGTACTCACGCTGACTGCGTCACGTCGGGACGCGAGCTCTCTGCGTGATATCAGACCGCGGGGTGCCGCCGATCAGCGCGGCCCGGTACTCACGCTGACTCTGCGTCACGCCGGAGCGCGAGCGGGTGCGGGGCGTGCGGGCGGCGTCCGGCGAGGCGCCGACAGGAGGCGGACCGCGCGGCGGCGGCGTGGCGGCCGACAGCCTACGCGGCCGAGCTGGTGGACAGACGCGCCGCGTCGCGGTCAGGCGCGCGCGTTGACGTCGCCGCCGGCTCGCCCCGGCGGACGCAAGCGAGACGACACGACACTGAACAGGCTGGAGGCGGCCGGTCCAGCCGTCAAGTCAGCAGTACCAGCTGACAACGAGTGGCTCGGACGTTCAGGCCAGGCGTCGTGCCGAGGGAATTCCTCCAGAAGCGTTCGCCACATCGCACTACAGCTACAGCATAGCTACTACAACCTGTGTTCTGCGAGTGCAAGGAGCCAGCCGAAAACGGCTGGAGGTGCCAAGCACTGGTAGCTCATGCAGAGCGCGTACTTGCAATGCCGGATGGGTACTAATTGGGCGGATAGTCGCAACATCCCAAGGCCCGCATCATCCTCATACACCGGGCAGACACAAACATGAGCGCTCTTGTAACGTTGCGTGCAAGCCGTACGCGACACCAGCTCACATGAACATTCGATACACCATGCATACACGTTTCGCGCACCCACCGTCCTTGCTGCCGCTGTCGCCTAACAATCCCGGCAGCGAGAAACAGATGCATGGATTGTCACGGCACCCAGACGGCCAGCGACACTCAACATCTTTATTAAAAGATCGGTACGGCTCACGTGGACCCTCGATCTTCACAAAAAAGTAAACGGGTAAACGAGAGCAAACGGCCAATTCCGTCTAAAGCCAAGTGCGCATCACAACATTGTTTACGAAACTCATGTGCTCAGGCGACACAAGGCCGCCGCTTTATCGAATTGGGGCAAGGACGGCAGCATCTCGATTGAGGCGGATAGAATCAGCAGATAAGGATGCGCACGGCGCCAGCACAGGGTGGCCTCCCTGCTGGCTGTCGCTCAGAAATTTCGCGAGATTGCTTTGGTCGGGCTGCACAATATGACGCCGCCCTCTGCAGCAGCGGGGAGCCGGACTCCGGCCACATCTCCCACCCAACGGGCCGGAGCCAGGGTTCTCCTCCCGATCCCCTCCGTGCCCGGGCTCTCCTCCCGACCACTCTGACCTCGGGCTCTCCTCCTGACTCTATCTGAGCCCGGACTCTCCTCCCGACCCCCTCTGAGCCCAGGCTCTCCTCCCGACCACTCTGAGTCTGGGCTTTCCTCCCCACCCCCTCTGATCTCGGGCTCTTCTCCAGACTTTATCTAAGCCCGAGCATTCCTCCCGACCACTCAGAGCCCGAGCTCTCTTCGCGACCCCTCTGAGCCCGGGATCACCTCGCGACCGCCTCTGAGCTCGGCCCCTCCTCCCGACCCCCTCTGGGCCTCCACCCTCGAGGTCAACACTCCAGAGTCTGTCGGCCCCGCGTCCGCCGGCGGCGGCCGGGCCCCGGCGGTACTCACGCAGACTGACGCCGGAGCCGACGCGCATGCGCTGTGCGGCGGCGTACTGGGCGCGCGCGCGGGCCCGCTGCGCCGCCTGCAGGTCGATGGCCGACGTGGAGCGGAGCGACGACTGCGACGGCGACTCGCCTGCGGGCCGCGGACACCGCTGACACGCGCGCTCTCTTTCTCTCTCCCTCTCTAACTCTGTCTGTCCCTCGAACGGGGGAGTGGCGACTGAGCCGGTGGGTGTGGGGACGCGGCAGACGGGACAGACAGGCGGAGCTGCTCACCATAGGGGCTGCGTGTACAAGGAGCCTCGCGCGGCTCGCTAGAAGCAGCGGCGAGCAGCAGCGGACACACAACGACCGCAATGGCCGGCGAGCCCTGCGCACCAGCAATCGATCAGCCCGATCAGCAGCCAGACAGAAACACGGGAGCTGTCCCGACCGCAGGCGGCCGCTGGGGACCGTGACGCCACATGGCAGCGCCGCCGCCGGCCGCGGCCGTGCACCGTACCGCGCTCGTGTCGGCCGGCCGGGCTGGCCAGCGGGATGGCCGAGCGGCGCGAGATCGAGCCCGTCCGGCTGAGGTTCTCCTGGCTGCCGGAGCGGGACGAGGTGCGCGAGCGCGAGCCCAGCGCGCTGCGACCTGACACTGCCGAGGACAGAGCGGCTCTGGTCAGCACAGGCCATCACACTACAGTTTGTCCGAGAGTGTGACGTTACGCCGCTGGCGCGGCAGCACCATCTCCCTACGTTACACCACTTCCCCACCGCGCGACGTGGCTTCAGCTCTATTCCGGCGTTCACTCACCCGGCGCAGTGAGCGAGTTGTTGCTGCCAGACTTGCTCATCTCGCCGGCTAGCGTCTTCTTGTGCTGCGCGTCCAGCGAGTTGAGCAGCGAGTCCGCCTGCTCCTTGAAGTGGTCGGCGAATCCCCAGTACGCCCTGGCCACAGCCCCGACTGGTCAGCACAGGCACACAGGCAGCGGGTGTGCCCGCGTCCAGACGGGCTGAGGCAGAAGCGGTTGCGGCCCCCGCATGACCAGCGCCCGAAGCGGTGGCCGCATGACGCAGGCGTCTGACCCAAACCAGACCCGCTCCGGTTAAAAAAAAGATATTTAAGATGAAGCCAATACATCAAGACCACCAGCCCGCACCAGAAGGCTCACTCCACGCGAAAACGACACAATTCAGGCGGAAAATGGGCAACAGGCGACGTCAGTGCAAACAACATTTCCAGCGCCTCAAAGCACGCCGCCGTGGGCGTCAGCAGCACGTAGAAGCCCGTCCCTCCCCGGCCCCGCGCTCCCACCTGCGGCTGATGGCGCGCACTTCGTTGTCCGCGTCGCCGACGCCGCGCCGTATCGCCTCCTGCACGGCGGCCACGTGCTTCTCCAGCACCTGGGTGGGCCAGCTGGTGATCATCTGCTCGAGGAACTCGCTGCAGGCGCGCCGGATCTCGCGCGCCTTGCTCGTCATCTGGTCGGTCACGACCGGCACCAGCTTGGCGTAGTGCGTGTTCTGGATGATGAAGCGGATCGCCACCACGCCCGAGGTCGACATCACCTGCAGGAAGAGGAGGAGGGGGTGAGGCGACAAGGTCAGGTCAGGTGGGATGAGGTGAGAGGGTGGGTCTGCAACACTCAGCCTGCGAGTGGAGGCAACACCTGGCGGGAGGGGGGGGGGGGGCAACACTTGGCTTGCGTGTAGAGGCATCAGCTGGAGAGGGGGGGGGGGGAGTGAAGGGTAGATCTACGACACTCGGCGTGTGAGTGGAGGCGTCACCTGGAGAGGGGGGGGGGAGTGAAGGGTAGATCTACGACACTCGGCGTGTGAGTGGAGGCGTCACCTGGAGAGAGGGGGGGGGGGGGAGTGAAGGGTAGATCCACGACACTCGGCGTGTGAGTGGAGGCGTCACCTGGAGAGAGGGGGGGGGGAGTGAAGGGTAGATCCACGACACTCGGCGTGTGAGTGGAGGCGTCACCTGGCCGGGGCGGGGGAGGCGACACTCGGCCTGCGAGTGCAGGTTGGAGGGCAGCGCTGACGTTGACGGATATGTGGGCCAGCACTTGATGACACGCGCGCCGGAACCTAAACAAGAAGTGCCACGCTGCCGAGTTGTGATATAGGCCCAGCGAGACGCCCCTCGATTCTGCCTTGTGTCCTTATATCTGGATTTGAACATTCAGCACAAACATGGCACGCGTTTGTCTCCAGTTCTATCGCTTACGGCCCCATGGCCGGCACGGTCGGGGCGGTCGCTGACGAACCTTGGCGCTGTTGGGGATCAGCTCGATGAGGTAGGGTAGCAGCGAGTGGCAGACGTGGTCCACACGGTGGCCCAGCTGCTGCGAGAGGTACGCCACTGTGATGCACCCCTCCCGCACCACCTGTGACCTGCGGCACGGAACACAGCCCCGTCAGCGTCACCCAGGTCTGCCTGTGACCTGCGGCACGGAACACAGCCTCGTCAACGTCACCCAGGTCTGCCTGCGACCTGAGGTACGGACCGCAGCCCGTCAACGCCACCAAGGTCTGCCTGCGACCTGAGGTACGGACCACAGCCCGTCAACGCCAACCAAGGCTGGTCGAGCTCTGCAACGAAAGTTTCCCATGCTCAAATCGACGATGCATTTTGTCCAGCCGGCCAGCCCTCAAAATTGGCCTGATGTGGCTCCCAAAATGGACGTGAGTTGAGGCATATTGCACGGTCTTTACTGCGGGTACAGTTCTTTCATAGACTGGACTGTCAATGCATGTGTCCTGCACAAATCGTCATGCATACATCACGTATACACGTCTAATTTGAGAGATAATCCTACTGAGGGTTCTACACTGGGGTTAGTACTAATAAAACGGCATTTCAGCGTCATTTCTGTCACTTAATGGAGTGGCACTCCAGGCTAGATTAGTTATTGATCCAGCAGCGGACATATCAGACGCGTCCCCTGACGCAGCCCGTTCCGACGGCAGTATCAGCCACGGCGCGGCGGCATGGAAGGCTGGCAACATCCCGCCTTACACTGTACGGACCGTGCATACAGCCTTCGACTTAACTGTCAGGTCATACTGATACCAGGCGTCACGTATCGGCGCGAATGGAACACGTCTGGCGAAAGCACTAAAGAGACTGCCCGTCCCGATCAGATGACATCATTTGATTGTTCGGTAATACGGGCTTAATTTATGGGGCGCCAAAGCGATTTCCTTGAAGTCGAGCCACGCGCTTCAAGGTGCTTTGTGATCCATAGATAGGCTCTCAAGTGCTTTATTGCCCTCTTCTCATGACTGCGACTATCAGTGACCAGCTGACTTCTGGGGCGAGGGCTGAACTTGCGTCACACATCTGTCCGTCAACGATACCCAGATTGCATTATGCGTTCAAGTTGCCCTTTGCGGAGCCAACCATGGACTTGTAGTGATGCGCCTTCCTCCGATGCACGAATGGCCCGCCAGAAAGGCGTTCACCCAAGCCGTGCATGCTCAAAACAAACAGCGGCTCCTCTTCCCAGACGGGACCCTCGTCTGGCGCGTCCGGTGACTTCGTACGGTCGGCCCAGCGCTGCATGCTCGATACCTGCTTTGAATACCATTATAAATGCAGTTCAAGCCGACAAAGGCGGCTGACCCGACCACCAGCTCAATGCGAATACGGCGCCAAATAAGGGGCGCCTTCTACAACGGGGCTGAGCCAGACGGCCCCGGGCGCTGCTGGATCGGCGGTTAAGTCTCCTGAAGGTTGCGCTACTAACAATGGCTACTGACGGTCGAGATCGCCGTTCTGAGCCCGCCTTTGACTGACCCAAGATGTCCGAGGTTTCACTAGAAATCGATCTGTACATATTATAAGACAAACTTAGAGCAGTAGTAGTCTTTTACAAGATTTAAAACAGTAGTTTAAACCAAAAGTATATATCATACTGTATCTTTCCTACCTTGCCGTCCGGTCATTGATACGATTCATCGTCATCCTACCCGATTTTCTGCGTGGAATGGGACCAATGGTTCTTCGCTGGCTGACTCTGGCTCTTCGTCAGCGAAAAGCCACGTATGGCCCAACCGGCTGTCCCAAATCCGCCGAGAAACCCAGCGGTCACCAAATGACCCCGCCTTCACACCCACCGTCATCCCAGTCACATAGCAGGGTCAGTATTCTCAGCATTGACACGGACTTATGCGTCTGGGCACCGCCCGCCGTTTCTATGGACCATGGCCCTACCCAGAGTTTCACGAAACGCTGAGGCGGCTGTTACGCGAGGTTCTGTCAGCAACGTCAGCTTCAACCCCGTATTTGCCATAAACAATGAGCCACCACACGACACTTGGGATGGTGAGCTATGTGAGATCCTCATCTCACCCGAACCTGACCTGACCCTGTGCTCTCACCCGATAACTAAGGCAAACGTGATTCCATGCACCCGCATTCGAACACACCCCCCTGCCTGATCCTCTCTCGACAACTCACATGACCCCTGCATCTCTACTGACACTCTGTTGATGCCCTGCGCCCTCACCCGAGACCCGCCCAAAGCTGGTGGTCTGAGCGCTCACCTGACAGCCTGGCCCCACATACATCCCATCCCAACCTCGCTCACCTGATAACCTGGCTCCCCATTCCGATCTCACTCACCAGGTAACCCGGCCTCACGCACATCCCACCCCGACCTCTCGTATGGAGTTCGGACTATGACCCGATGCGCCAGGCGCTCACCTGAGGTCGCGCAGGGTCAGCTGGAGGGCGGGCTCCATCAGCCGCAGGTGCTGGTACAGCTCGTCGAAGTTGGTGCCTCCGGCGATCAGCACGCCCCGGACCTTCTTCAGCTGCGAACGGAGTCAAGCACAGCATCAGACGCGCCGCGCCACACGGCACCGCGTGACCAGCTGACCCAGATTGAAGACCAGCTCACGACCGGGGGACGAGCTTCTTCAGTCGTCCAAACCCTCCAGCCCTGCCCACCTTCTAGACTACTTCTCGTCAGCACCAAAGTCCGTCACCAGAACTGATCTTGTTGTAAGCCGGTACGCGGTCTGGGCGCGCGGCACACCGGCCGCGGTCGCCGCAAGACGCTGCCCGCGGCATGTCGCCAGCCACTGTCCCGGCCACCATCACCAGCCGCTGCCCCGGCCTCCCTCACCAGCCGCTGCCCCGGCCTCCCTCACCAGCCGCTGCCCCGGCCTCCCTCACCAGCCGCTGTCCCGGCCACCATCACCAGCCGCTGCCCCGGCCTCCCTCACCAGCCGCTACCCCCGGCCACCATCACCAGCCGCTGCCCCGGCCTCCCTCACCAGCCGCTGCCCCGGCCTCCCTCACCAGCCGCTGCCCCGGCCACCCTCACCAGCCGCTGCCCTGGTCTCCCTCACCAGCCGCTGCCCCGGCCTCCCTCACCAGCCGCTGCCCCGGCCACCCTCACCAGCCGCTGCCCTGGCCTCCCTCACCAGCCGCTGCCCCGGCCATCCCACCAGCCGCTGCCCCGGCCACCCTCACCAGCCGCTGCCCCGGCCATCCTACCAGCCGCTGCCCCGGCCACCCTCACCAGCCGCTGCCCCAGCCACCTTCCGGTTCGCTGCCTCATCAGCAGCTCGCTCCATCGGGAGCAGCCGGTGCCACCGCCGCCGCCCCCAGGCACTCACCGCCTCCGTCCGCACGTCCCAGGCGTTGCCCTGCTGGCTGATTGTCTCGCGGAGCTTCACCATGATGTCCTCGAGGTCGCGCGGCGAGAACAGCTGCACCTTGGGCACCTGCTCGAACGACGCGATGAACGTGGCCTCGTCGATGGCGCCAGCCGCTAAGGGGTGGAGGGAGCGGGGCGGTCAGCGACGGTGGCAGCGCGGCACGGGTCAGGCAGGGGCGGGCTGTTGACAGGCTGCAGAACGGGTCCTATCCGCTAAGGATGTCGCACTGCAATCAGCCGGTGACAGGAGGAACGGGGTCTCCCCGATGTCTCATGTGACATGAGACACGGGGAAAGGCATAATGTACCGTTTGACACACTAAGTGCGGGGAGGGGATTACGTGCAACTAATTTAGGACTGGAGAAGGCCTTTGTTTGCCAGAGAGCACCAGATAACGAGGCATTTAACCGAGCAAAGGAAGCGACAAGACAAATCGAGACAATTGCATGCAAGATGAGAACACGACAGACGGCCTGCGCATCTGCCAAACAAATCTGTCCGAGCGCGGCTCGATGACGTGGCCACTTCCTCCTCCGCATCTCCAACCGCGCAGCGCTGGGCTACCGTCAGCAAACCGGATGCATGCACAACAGGCGGCGCGTGGGAGGCGGCGGGCGGGCACCATACTCGCCGCCGCCCACGCGGCCGCGCGGTGCGAACAAACGAGCCGGCCCGACACGTACAGCACCGCCGACAGCTCCCCCCAGCGGCGAGTCCCTGACCCCAGCGCCGCTGACGTCCGCACGCGGGCGGGAGGAGGCGGCGGAGGTGCCCGCGCCGCTGACGTCCGCACGCGGGCGGGAGCAGGAGGCGGAGGTGCCTGCGCCGCTGACGTCCGCACGCGGGCGGGAGGAGGCGGCGGAGGTGCCTGCGCCGCTGACGTCCGCACGCGGGCGGGAGGAGGCGGCGGAGGTGCCTGCGCCGCTGACGTCCGCACGCGGGCGGGAGGAGGAGGCGGAGGTGCCTGCGCCGCTGACGTCCGCACGCGGGCGGGAGGAGGCGGCGGAGGTGCCTGCGCCGCTGACGTCCGCACGCGGGCGGGAGGAGGAGGCGGAGGTGCCCGCGCCGCTGACCGCTAGCCACGGACGGGAGGAGGGGGCGGAGGTGCCCGCGCCGCGCCGCGCCGCGCGCTGCTGACGGCTCGCCACGGACGAGGCGGGAGCGGGGGCGGCAGCGCTGCCACCGCTGGCGTCAGGAGGTCAAACGTGTGCACCCAGTGCTCCACGCACTGAATAATTAGCCCAGAAGGATGAGTTCGGAACGGGAGTAGAACCGTAGGTATATAACTGGTGTCTGTCTGAACCTCTACCGCTGTTTTGCATCTCTTTTACCCGCTTACGTACTTTGTGGTAAGAAGAGTAAGATGAAAGGAAAACAAACTATTGGGCCTACGATGATCTAGGATGATTCCAAAACAGCTTTAGTACACAGAATACTGATTATCTTAGTTGCATGCAACGGAAATTCATGCAAAGCTGGATTGGGTTGCCATTTTGACAATGTGCATCCGATGCCCGTTCACGCCCCACCGCTGTTCAACGTTGCAGTTTACCTTAGCTTAACCTGCTGTTCGATACGGGTTAACTATTCCGGTTTAACCAGGCACTCAATGCTATCATGAGCATCTCTTAGCAGTGTTGTAGCGTCACTACGCCCAACACTGATCACATAACTAATTTAACTGGGACTCTGAGCTGACACCATTTAGCTGCATTATGAGACCACCGATGATACAATATGATAATATGAGACGTATTAGCTGAAGCCAATTTAGCCCGCATTATGGGTATGCAACGCAATGAGCATTCACTGCAACAAGTGTTCATTAATGTAGGTGGACAGAGAGAATACATCCAGAGCTTAGCTGCTTAAGTGCTTTATCAAAACTTCGCAGGGTGTTTACGAAGTAGATCAACTATCGTCAGATTGGCCGGCTACCACCCATGATACTGTTAGGAAACTGTGCGCCACAGGTCATGTCAACAACATCAGGCGAAATCACCGGCCGAATAGGCCAATCACATGTCCCCATCGACTAGATCGACGTTGAGTCCGGCGGTCTTTCATCCAGTTTGTCGGCTGCCACAACAGAAGCTCGCTACTGCGTGACTGTTGATGTTTGTGGTGTTTGATACGCTGATCGACGTCGCCCAGTCGCCCTCCTGCACCAGCTCGCCTCTGCGCTGGCTCACACATAGAGGGCGTTCGCTCCCGGCACGTGCCGGCGGCGCGGTGTCCGCCCGCACTGACCGGCCCCTATCCCGGTGGCGATACTCGTGTGTCGGGGATTCAGCAGGCTCGAGGAAGCACGAAAACCCCTCGCTGTTAAACTTCCGGTGGAAACCTGATACATGTCGCACGCAGGCTATTTAAGTAATCCCGCATCTTATAAGAACAAGGCCGGCCACCGTTGTGGTCATCAGACGATATTGCGCCGAAACAAGCATGGCTGAGGCAAAGGTGTTCAGGGCACGGGCATACAGCCTGGATAGCTGAGCACCGGGAGCAGGGTCGCCAGATATGGCGGTACTAATATCCAAGTGAAGTCAGCGAAGATTCTTTCGTCAGCAATCTATCCCCCTGTGTCCCCGGTGCGCAAGTCCGAAACATTCTCACTGGATGTACGATTTGCATGTTTCTTTGCCAACGAAACACAAATACGTTAGCGTCATCCATGCTGCGGGATGTTGGTATAAAACGATGACCTCTTTTCGAGGCGCCCTGCCGGGCAGAGGTCGCCGGGAAGCGGGAGGGGGCGACTAGGGGCGTCGCACCTGCGGACGGGCCGGGCGACCAGACCATAGGCGACCCCGCCGCCAAGGTCAGACGAGCGATAGCATCTCAAGGACTCCGGCGATTCATTAGAGCCTCTGCAGAGGGGGAGGGGGGGGGGGGGGGGGGCTCCTGGCCGTCCCGTTCCGCCAGACACTGCAGGAAGCCCTACCGGGTACGACCACAAACGTCACGCGCACCTGCAGCACTATACCCGACTTATTTTAAACTAATGCTTGGTCATGTCAAGTTCATTACAAATGTGACAACTGACGGGAATATATCGCATTTACCCGGATGTCAGTATAGCAGCTCGACGACCCCTGGGCAGAAGAAGTTCGGTAATGCGCAATCAAAAACCACTGAGTCAAGGCGACGTTGTCATCGTAAAAGTTTCTTGTCACAATGCATTACGAGGTATCAATAAAAGTATGCCGAGGGAGAAATGACGGCCAGGACTTCATGGCCATGTTCCACCAATATGGCGTCGCACGCGACGCGCCGGCAGCCCGATGGCGCTGGTAAACAACCTCCAGCGGGGAACCACTCCCCGGTTTAACAACGGCCGGGGTCCCGATTTCATCATCCCCGAGTCGCAGATCTAACGCGTATCGCTCACTGCAGCGCATATGGAAGCCATGGATGATCTACGCGGCACTACGCGATACCGATCATGGTATGTCCTTTGTTGCCCGCACCTGCATTCATGTCACCAGTTGAATACCTTAAGCCTATGCAATATGTATAGCCCCTCCCCGCCTCTAGCGTCCAGCCAGCCAGAGCAGTCGCAGACATTTCCGGTCTCCTCTCACCAGCCGCCTGACCCATGACGTCATCTGCGAGGCGCGCCCCATCCTGGACGGGATGGGCGCGGGGCGCTCCCCCGGCCCCGTCACCACCGACACCGCGGCCGCGTCTCGGTGATTTATGGCGGCGGTACCGCTGCAACCTTGCACCAGCACGGCCGGCACCATCTCGTGCGTGGCGGCGCACAGCGGCCCGCTGTCAAATCACGGCGTCAGAGGCCATGGTCTTCTCCAGTCACTCGGGAGCCCGCCGGGACCCCCCCCCCCCCCCCCCACCCCCGCCTTTCAAACCACGGAAACGCTTAATCGGGCGTGGCCGTGGCCTCACTGCTGGAAAGAAGATGTAAAAATAATAGCGATTACGAAAGAAATATCACCGAGTTACACAATGTTTTAATCAAATTAAAAACAGATAAGTCAAAATGTACCGAGTCACCACATCAATGTCTACTAAAACTCCCGAAGCGCCCCTAACCGCCATGACAGATGAATACGTAATCGTCACATTTACGAGGAAGGGCAGAGACAGAATTGCCATCTGCACTAATGCAGTGGGCCTGCCATGTTGCTACAGCACATAAGTCATGTCATGTGCACACGAACTGTCATCTTTAAATTCTTGTTCTTTTATACTGAATAAAACGGGGAGTTCATTAAAGTAAAAGGTCATCATGCGCGATACTCGCGGATGATGACCAAGCCCGGTCATCTGTTTGCCAGTTAAAATAACATGGCGCAGTTAAATACAGGGTAATCTACAATCTAAGCCACGCTGTGAAGCAACACTCACAAAATTTACCCCAGGGTTACATCAAAGCGCAGCCGCCCCTGGTTTCCATGGTTTACGAAAAGGGCACAAAAATGCGGCTAAAACCGCAAACACAACCTCACATCCGAGCCTGGGCACCCGCCAGTGGCCCCGCAGACTCCTGTACAACCCTCGTCTGGGGTCTCGAAGGAGGCGTCTAGGACAAAATAAAGTGTGGAGATGACCGACAGAATCAAATAAGCTGAACACGCCGTTACATAACAGGGGAAGCACCTGGCGGGCGCCGCTGCCTGTGCCGCACCGCTCCGGCCGGCGCGGCGGTCACGGGCCTCGGGCCTCTGGAACGGCGTCAATTGAGGCCGGCGCCGTGAGCCGCCGCCCAGACGACGACGGCCGACGCCCCGCGACGGCGCCGTCCGACGCAAGGCACGCCGACTCCCACCCACCGCCTCGGCGGCTGACGGGCCGGAACTGGGCGGCCATTAGTCGTGGAACGGCGCCTCCGAGGCGCGGCACTCGGCCTTTGCTGAAGCCGCCGCCACCAGCTCCCCGACAGGATGGGTGGAAAACAGGTGCATTGAAATGTAGGTGTGATGCGTAAAATCGCCACTTTACGATTTCATCAAGCGCTTTTTGGCTTCTCTTTCAGGACGATTTGAGTTCCCCAACATTCAAGCACGCTGAGAGATCTTCTTATACAGCGCATAAGATAGTGCAGCACAGTTGCAAGAGAATCGTGCAACTTCTAAGCTGGTATTCATGACCAGTAGGCTTGGCCGAAGCAAGCTTCACCTTCCCTGGCGGCGGTCATAGCTGAGGTATGCGGCATGACCGGGGCAGATCTGCGATCCCGAAGTCTGCCCGGCAAGCTGAATGCCCGAGTCTGCCGCCGAGCTCAAATTGCCCCCATGACCAAGACTGCTTGGCCAGCCCCAGTCCCCCCCCCCCCCTCTGCTCACCTGTGCCTGAGACTGATGACGTGGCAGACGACTGACGTGAGACGAGAGACGGCGTACGGCGCACACGGACATCTGTATGTGGCGGGCACAGGCAGTTAGTTGGGCACATAGATGCTGGCGCCGTCCAGCGGCGACACCGGCAGACACAAATGCGTGGCGCAAGCGTTAGGCGCGCTGTTCACATGAGCGGGCGGATCAGAAGCGCTGCGAGCTGACAAAACTGTAATACAAGCATATCATGGAGGATGTCTGGTTAGAGAATGTCGTGCATTTTCCCGTACCATCATGCCGCTGTTTAGGACGTTGCGCAAAAACGGCCACTTTGTTTTCAAAACAAGCATTCGCTGACCGAAGATTAGCACGATCATGCGAGTTACTCGCAAGAACTGTACGACGAACGATTGCAAAAACGAAAACCGAATTAATGATCCCCATTAGCGGCGCTGAACACCGTGCTCATGATCCATCACACCTGCGACGCGTCGAGTTCGAATTACCGTCAGTCAGCTTGTAAAAACTAGCCCAGCGCCGAACCGGCCCGTCGAGACAGTGGGAAGCAGGACGCGACGGCATCGCTCAGCGGGCCGGCCATGTCGCCAGCACACCCGGAGTCCGTCAGCTGACCTCATAGCACAAGCGGCATGCGGGAGGGCGGCGACACACGGGAGGCAACTCCGCAGGCGGCATCGAGCAGCACAGGATCACGCGGGAGCGGGCAGGCAGACAGACGCCAGGACTGGCGAGGGGATCGCCAGCTGCGACACGCTCACGGCGAGGACCTGGTCCGGCGCAGAAACCCGCCAGCAGAATCATGCTGCGGTTGAAGTCGGCGGCCGTCGCAGTCCCTCGCATAACTAGTGTTAATGACTCCTCATGGAGTGGAGGGAGCGCATCGATCGACATCGACCGGGACCGGCGCCGTCTGCGACCCCACCCAGCGGGGCCCTGACTCGGTCCATGGGCAGCTGACTCAGCAGCACACCCCAGCCGCTCGCCAGCGCACGGTGGGGACTCCCCGGCCGGCCACGCTCGCCAGCCCGCTAGCTGGAAGAGTTCTTCCCCGGAAACCGGTAAAGCGCGATGAATCTTCGCTGATGCGCCCCATTCCATGCGTCACCCACAGGCCCGCCTCTTCAGCGCTGACGCCGGGTCGCGCCTCCGCTCTGCTCTGCCACTGCCGAGGTCGGGAATGAACCCCTCACCGCGCTCGCCAGTCCGGGCCCGCGGGGTGCGGTGGACTCGGACCCCCTCCTGACGAGAACGCTCGGTCCCCAGCCCCACCGCCCCCGCCGCCCGAGCAGCCGCGGCTCCGCGGCTCCGCGGCGGCCACGGCGCAGCGCGCCATTAGTGGCGCAGGTGATTGACGGCGGCGCGCCGGCCGGCCGGGCGGCGCGAGCGCACGCGGCCGGCGGCTGACGAGCATGACAAATGGCCGTCTGCTCCACTGACCGGCGCCGACGCTCCTGCGGTCGGCCGAGACGCCGCGGCGGCGCTGAGCGCGTCACCCGCTTGTTGCGTGGGAGTAGGGGCTGGGGTGGGGTTTCCAGCGACCTCTACAGTTCGGCACTGATTCACTGCGCATGCAAAGCTGAGTCCCTGCTGGTGTAATAGATAAAAATTGCGTAAAAGACTCAAGCGGCAAGAGGCACTACATGAATAAATACATGAATCGGTGCACAAGCGTCGGACATCGGCACGAGCCCCCAGTGTCGGCACGAGACGACAGCGACATGACACCGAACGGAGACGCTCCTGGCCAGCGCCAGCAAACACGCGGGCAGCTCAGGCGTACACACACACAAACACAGCGCGGCAAGCGCATGAGATCGCAAGCAAGCGCTGAGGACGGCGAGAGGCGGTATGCAGCGTTAGTTTACCCGATGGCCTGCGGCCGGCGCTGGGCGACCTGGGGCGTACCCTGACCTGACGACGGGACGCTGAGGGCGACACAGGGCGGCGGAGCGTCACCGCAGGCCGCGCTCAGCCGCCGCCGCCACCCGGGCTCAGCAGGCACAGCCGGGTGACGGCGACATTCACAGGCAGGCGACCAGCATGCCACGACTACGGCACGTTCATCCAGGTTAATATTCGGCCCGGGCGGCCTCCGGTTAGCATTCCGGAGGAGACGGAGGAGGACGGGGCGGATGGCGCGGCTGCGCACAGTCCGTCCCACATGCGCACTATTCAGCTCACAGTTAACCAGTCGAGCTACCGGCACAGCACCACCCGCAGCCCGGCACCTCGTGCGACGACAATCGCAGCCCAGCTCTGCCAGTCCAGCGCCGTCCACAGCGTTGCACCGTCCCCAGTAAATGTGTGTCCCGTTAGCACCGAACAAGCACCCAACCCCATGCCAGCTTTCGTTCCAGCCACCGTAGGTTCGAGTCCAGCGCCTGTCGACGGCGGTGCGTCATCTCTCCACGGCCCTCCCGGCCAGCGGGCCAGCGCCGCTCACGCGACCGAGCCCCGCCCAGCCGGGCGGGCGACACCTCGCGGTCATGCCCCTCGCGCAGACCACCGTCAAATTAATAGCCAGCCGCCAGCCGGCGTCAGTCTAGCGCCGCGCGCCGGGTGACGGCGCCTCATTAGCGGACAGGTGCACTCACTGGTGGTCGGGGCGGCGCCGTTGGCCGCGCCACCGCCCGCCTTCTGCGGCACTGCTCGCCGCGCTGGCGGCGCGCTCGTCGACCGCGACACGGACGTCTTCGCCTGGAACGGAGCGGCGGAGTCAGGCTGGCGCCGGCCGGTCGTTTGTCGAGGCGTGTGAGCGCGCACGACGGCAGCGCGCTGGCTTCCGACAGTGGCTGCTGCGTGGCTGACGAGTTTGTTGTCTATTGAAACGGCGGCGCGCCGGCTTCCGACAGTGGCTGCTGCGTGGCTGACGAGATTGTTGTCTATTGAAACGGCAGCGCGCCGGCTTCCGACAGTGGCTGCTGCGTGGCTGTCAAGTTTGTTGTCTATTGAAACGCGCATTGAGCGAGGAAATCGGGCTCAAGAGGTCTCTACTGGGATTGACGAGATCTGACGAACACGCCAGTTTGCCTCCAGTTCGGACGGCCGCCGCCGGCGCCCTGCAGTCTGACCACACGAGCAGCGCACATCACGCACCTGAGGAATTTAACCGCTGCCGCTTCCTGTAAACACTATTGTCACCCGGCCACAGCATGGCTCCCGACCGCGACTCGCCACTCGGGGAGAGATGCAGATCCAGGCGGCGAAACGCCGTGGCATTCCGCTTTCGCCCGGCACCTCACGCGTCAGCGACGGCGCCGCGCTAATAGCCCGCATCCGCCTGCTGGTGCCCCGCGCCGAGCGGCCGGCCTCGGCCCAAAAACTGGACAACAACACAGTCCGATTGAACGTCACCTATGCATAGCCAAGTGCGCGAACGACACAAAGGCCTAGGTCGTGGCGCACTATGAACGCCTTCAAAAGCGTCCCTCGCGCGCCGCCGAGTTCGGCCACTCGAGCGTTCACACTCGCGGCGGGTCGGGCGGCCACGCGGTGAAAAAGGCCGGGCGCCGTCTCTGAGTGAGCGGGCCGCGTGGCCGGCGTGGCACGCGGCACGCGGCTGCCTTTGTCGGCGCACAATCGCCGACCCACTCGTGCGGTGGGGCGGCCGAGGCCGGGCGGCGCGCGCGGCCGCTGTGTAGCCCCCGGCGGCCAGCGGAACGGTGGCATGGAGGCGGGCGTATCCCGCGCTGGCGGACCGGGCAGGAGCTGCGTGGAGCCCGATGATGACAGATCGTCGCGGGGGAGTCACAACCGCAGTTTCCATGTCACGAGGTCACGCCGCGAATGGAACACGACCGAAACACGCCACGCTGTGCATGTCTCTTCCTGGAGGTACGGGGCGGCAGCAACGCAGACAAGGCAGCAAACACGGAAATGGTGCCGACAATAATAACTTTCATGGGCAAGCAAGCGAACGTGATTTTCAGAAACCCAGCGTCTTGGTTTCCAACTACGGGCGAACAGAGACTATACTTTACTCGGATTTCAACCAGGTGGTACGATAACGACCGCGATCGGTGTCTCCGTATGGTCTCCACGAAATGAACGGTGCGCAAATGGAAAATGAGGAGAGAAAAATGGACCGACAGTTTTATGGCGCCTCTACTCGCCGTCTTCACCCACGTAACTTCTACGAAATCTGAAAACTCTTTCGCGAAAAAATGCCGCTAGAAACGTCATCAGCAGCGCAAATCTCTTCAAGTGATATGAACTACTATATTTGAATGTACACAAGCCTGACCTGCACGCAAACACCCAGTGCTATGGCCTATGGTCGTAAGTTATCCAGCCTGCATGCGCTTCACTTCCACTTGAACTTGATATAATCCTTCAAATGGTTTACCCCACACGCCAAACCCATGGACCTGGCCAAAGCGCTAGCAGGCGACTATGTTCTGCACGCGAGGCGATACCGCCTGTTTCTATGTTTGAGCTGTATGGTGCTGTGTCTTGTGCTTCTAGTGTGGCATCACATATGACGCCCCATGGCGGCTACATGGTGTCGCTCATAGCGCCGCAGCCACCGACACCACGCAGCGCAGAGCTCGCCGCCGACAAGGCACGTGCGCGGCGTGACGCGGGTCCGTCCTATGAGTAGATAGGCCACAGGCGAGGTGGGCGTAAAAAGTCAACAGCCGGGCGACGACGGCGCGACACGTCGATGCGATAGCACACCCACTGTTTGCAGAGACGAAAGCGTAGAGGGAGTGGGGGCGGGGGGGGGATGACCTCGGCCACATGGGTGTGCCCAGAGCGACAGCCATGCCCCCCTCCCCCCCCCCCCCCCTCCTCCCACCAACACCACCACCACCTACGCGCACAAGGGGATTCCGGCGCATGAGAGATGAAGTAGACAGTGACGCGCACGTGGCTAGAATGCAGGAGCGCGTACCGTGCCTTATCACACTACACACTCCGAACGTCAGCCGTGCGGACGCGGAGCACGCGCTTTCGTAACTCGCTCCAGTCTACGCGCATCGCCATGGAAGTCACGTGGCTTACAACGGCGTGGACCCATGCCACGAACAAACGTACTCAGGGCATCCCTCCAATGATATGGAGCCCGCTGTCTGAACGAGACCGTCAGCTTGGGGCGGCTGGCGCAGCTGTCGGCCCCCGGGTATCGCACCAATCCAAAAGGGCATATTGCTCCAAAAATGAGCATCTCAACCGTCTTTTCCGGTCTGCTTGACAGAGCGTGCTGCGGCGCAGAAAGCCCATCTCCAATCGGAGCATCGAGCGGCTCCCGTCGGCTTCAATCGAACAGGTGGCGGAGTTCTCCCACCGTCTCTCCAGCGACAGACAAGGGAATGATGGGAGTCAGGGGCACTGACCCTCCACGTCTGCGTGACAATCACACCTCTCGTGACGCATGACAGGAATAGAGTTGAAAACCGGGTTTGGTCGCGACGTCTGCCACCGTCGCCGGAGGACCGGACCAGACGGGCCAGAGGACCAGCGGCTCGCCGGCACCGTCTCCGGAGGACCGGACCAGACGGGCCAGAGGACCAGCGGCTCGCCGGCGCCGTCACCCAGCAGACTGGGTCAGGTCGACGCAGTCGGCGGCAGCCACGCTGGGCGGACACTGGCCCACCTCAAAACAACGGGCTTGGGCCGACAGTACACCACCGGTGACTGGAGGCGTTTCCCGCACCTTGGGACAGATTGGTGAGCATGAGCGGTGGTTTCTCCTCACTGGCGGCCACGCATGAAATCCTGTCAAATGGTGGCTCCATGACACGACCAGGCGCCGAAGGAAAAAGAAAGGTTTTGGGTGAAATAACAAATGAAGCGGCCTTGACAAGGTAACAAATGACAGGTGCCACATCAAATGACATGGTCCAGGCTTCTGGCGTCGAAAAGATCGATTGATATGAGTGAAAAGATGACGGGAGACTGGCGAGGAAGATGAAAGGGAAAAGGAACGAGAGGGATGCTGAAGAGAAACTGATGAAGCATCGAGAGAAAATGGACGGCTTGTGTGGACCTGAAATAAGCGGGATAGCGAAGAGACCAGGTGCCCAATAAATCAAGCGCCGGAACACGGAACATTCGCGCGTGCGTGCGTGCGTGCGTGTGTGTGTTTGCGTGTGTGTGTGTGTGTGGATGATGCTCGATCTCTACAAAGCGCCCCTGGTTTTCAAATATGCACATCTGTCGGCTATATGCCTGTTTTATTCGCGCCACAAATACCTAAAGTAACCGCTGACCGGTACACACTACACTACAGCCGTAACACGAGGTGCGGATTTTTGTGGCGTGCTGTATCAATTTAGCGTCTGATGTTTTCACAAATTATTTATCTGAGAAATATAATTGTATTTTCCCAATTTATTTAGGGCTACACCACGCTCACGTTAATCCAACTCCTGGCACACGAAATTTATAAGACAGATGATGTTCTCTCATCGACTACTCATTATCACTTTCACTCTGGTTTACCGCTAGTTTATCTGTACGAACTTGACGTGCCAGTAGTCTACTGTGACTACCCCCCCCCCCCCCCCCCCCGGGCGACCGTGACTGGACGCCGAAAAATAAGAATTCGAGGGGCACAAAACGACAGTTCATCATTAGACTTGCTCTCCTCACTTTTTCCAGCGGTCTTTTTCACATTACATGGGCACGAAAAAACTGCTTTCGTATTCCCTCCTTGTCACGTCACATACGAGAACAAGTTTACTTCAAACATCAGTCGTCCTGCATTTACGAGACTGCAGAACAAACTGAATTGCCTGTTTTTGTCGTCCATCCCCACTGCCTTGGTCCTACGCCGCGGTCGTCGGCGCGAGCTCCTCGGGTGCCACACCTGGAGCCGGCCGCCCCCGGCGAGGCCGGCTCCGGCCGACTAGGCCGCTCCAGCCGCCGCCGCCCCGTTACAAACGCCGGCGAGCGCGCGGGATGGCTCGCAGCCGGACCGTCCTACGGCGCCGTCCGGACCGTCCGGACCGTCCTACGGGAAAAACGGACGGCTCGTCGCGACGTTCCGGGAAAACACTACTGCAGCGAGCCGGCCGAACCCGGCGGCCGCGCCGACTGCTCCGGATTTTTGTGCGGCCCATGTCACTAGCTGTGGGCAATGACGCCGGCGACGGAAGCCGAGCGCACGGCGGTCCGCTGCTGGGTTGTGCAAGGCCCTGGGAAACGGTTGCGCGGCGACAAGACGGCCGCTTTTCAGAGCGTCCTCGGTCCCATCGGAAAACGTGCGCGGAGCCGGTGCGCCGGCCTGAGCCGCGCCCATGATGAGCGCACGACGGTCTGAAGGACATCTTGGACGTGACACGAACAGCGCCACACTCTCACGGAGCTCGCCTCGAACTTCGCCAACAAACGTGCTCCCGAGTACGGCTGATCTCCGCCCTGGCCCGGCGGCTCTCGCGCTGCCCACAGCGCCCCTCCAGCCGCAGTCGGCCGCCACGCCCGGCCGTCACACACCTGACGGACAAAGTGTGACGGATGGCCGGGGCGTGCGCGTCCGGCGGCGCCGCGGCCCGGCCGCGCCACCGGCGCCGACAGCCGCCGACGCTGGGGCGTGTCATCGCCCGCCACCTGACAGGCGGGGGTCAGTCCACCGCCGCCGGCTGACGGGCGCGCCCTGCCGAGGTGCCGCCGCCCAGCCAGTCAGCCAGCGGAGGAGGCTGGCAGCCGCGGTACCGTCTGGCCACGCGCGCGCCGCTGGCGGAACGCGGTGTGACGCCGTGCCCACCGTCCCGCTGATGCGGCGACGGAGCCGGTCGAGTTGGACAACGGCTCCAGCCAGCCGCCGACAGCGGACCGGCGCGGAGCACGGCGGGAGTAAATCCGGAGTCAACCAAGACGGCTGTCAGTCATGTCAGTCCCGTGATTCCATGTTCAGTCCGAGTCACCCGAGTAACACTGGGGGGTTATCAGTCAGATCAGTCCACCCGCAGGCCATCTGGAGTCAGCCCGGAGGCCGGCAACTGGAGGCAGAACGCCGCGCCGCCGGAGTCGTCCTCGACCTTGCCGGGAGCCCGCTCGGGCCGGCCCGGCGCGGCCGCCCCGGACCTGACGAATCGATACGGCACAAAGCCGCGCCGAGCGCCGCTTCAAGCGGCCCGATCGGCCCGCTTCCGGGCCGCGCCATTAGCCTGTGCGGCGAGCTGCCGCCGCCGCCGGAAGCCGCCGCCGCTGGCAGCTCGCGCCGGCCGGCCGGGGCCAGCTCGCCGCCGTCCCCCGAGGCGGCGAGGCGTCGCCTGCCGCGAGTTCACATGGCGCGGGCGGTGCCGCGTTCGCTGCGCCAACACACGGCGTGCCATCAGGCAATCGACACCAGTGCCGCCGCCGCCACCGCCAAATCGGCCCGCAAGGACGGCGCAAACGCCCGCGAGCCGGGCCGGTCGGCCGCAACGCGGCGAGCCATCCACGCTCGGCCGTTTACTGTAACAGCGTACCTGTCGATCATTAGTGGGGGAAACAAAGCAGAACGCGGCCCACATATTGCGCAGCATACCCAGCCACGTCGGGCGCGCGGGCGGCCACCCGGCGTTCCGAGCACCACCAGCCGCCGTTCGTCTGCTGTCTCCACGGAGACGCCACGGTCGGCATCAGCGCCCATGCTTCGCTTGGTGAAAAGGGTAAAGGCGTGACGTGCTGGCCGGGTCTGCTGTGTTGCCTATTTGGGATGATTGCTGCGTGAAGAGGCGCCTGGGGTACATGTTCGTGCACGGACAGCCGTCACGAACCGCAATCGCGATGCAATCACACCTGATGGCCGTCCGTGGCAAGCGGCAGGGTCGTGAGCACTGGCTGTGGTCTGGTTTGGTTGGGAATGCGGTTTCAACGTTAGAAATGCGCGGTATCACACACTGTTGACAATTCTCACGAACGCTACGTAGCGCTTTTGTGGTCGGGCCGAGCACTTTCCCTTCCGACAGGCGTCAATAAATTTACGGTTATGCATCCAGCATTGCCCAACACGGAAAAGGCCATGTCGGATCCGGCAGCGAACGCAGTCTATTATCTAAATGGCTCCATTCAGCCTGTCTCCGATCGAAAACCCGGCTGAATGCGGCGCTCTCGGGCCCCGAGCCGATTAATCTTCGCCTTTCTCAACAGCCGCGGGCCCGGGGCCGGGCAGCGAGCGGCCGTCATTCCCGTCCAGGGGTCAGTCGGGTCAGATACGGCCAGCGGATCGGTCCGACCGGCTGAATGGAGATATCGTTTCGGGTGCCCGCGCCGACAGGTCAAGTACGAAATCACAGCATCAGCACCATATGTTTGAAATCGATGCAGGCGTTCCATCACGTTCGCACGCGAGCCATTTACTCCGAATTCACATGAAGTGTTGTGCCATTAAAGCCTGGCGCGTGAAGAGTTTCCGATCAGGGGGAGCGGTGTCCGGGTGGCAATCCAACAGCAAAAGTGTTCCCTGGCTCCCGCATCACAACACGAACGCTGCCCACAGTATCACGAGGCGGTGGAATGTGAAGTCCTTGCACAGCGACTAACAGAGATCAAGTCAGTTCCCTCGCTGCCGGGTAGCCACACGCAAAGTCAGATCGCCACCCGCAGTCCAACATCACGGGAGACGCCTACCGGTCACGACGACACCTACAGCCGGCACCGGCCGTCCCAGGCCGGCCGGCGCCTGCGCTGCCGGCCGGGCGGCACGGACCGCGCGGCCCTCAGCGCCGACAATCGGGCCCGGCCGGCGCCGGTCACGAGCTGAGATCACATCGGCGCGGACGTCACGCAGGGTCACCGTCGGGGCAGAACGCCGCCGCACCAGTCGGCAAACCGGCACACGGAGTGTACACAAGACTGTCAAGGTCAGGCGGTCGCCCCATTCTTTGGTGAATGTACACAGGCCGCTTATTATTCCACACCGTGCTCAGAACCGCCGTGTACTGTTGGTCGCGCGTGCAAGAAATGTCTATGGAAAGACTTGTATGTGACATTCTTTACTCGCGCATGCAGCGCGGCTCAGCTGCTGTGCAACTAAAATGCGCCATTCAGATCACTTACAATCGAAAAGCTGTTCGTAACCATTTCATGTATCGAACCTTGCAGTCCTGACACACTCATCACACCGTGGTAAAACGCATGCACACTGGTGGCAGGATGAAAAACGTTCCGTGCCTTCACAACGAAGACAACACTTCCGAAAAAGGGAAGGCCCGTTTGGCTGGAAGTCTGAATGTTCTCGACAGCAACTTACCACAGCCTCGTCCACTTCATCGTTGGCGTCTCTCCGAGCACCTGCGGACACAGAGGATGCGTGTCATATGACGTCATACTAACAGCGCACGAGTGACACTCCCAATGGCGGTCACTCAGCTTGCTGGTTAACCCGTTTTAAAAATTGGTTTGAAGACGGCAGTTGATAAATTAGATATGTCGCACCACCTCACATGCCTTCAAAACATCACACAAGGCATCCTATGGACTAAAATCGAGATGCTCCAACATTTACCACCAACATAACCAGGGAAACGAACTGATACACAGGCTAGTGTACTGTCCGCCAGGAATATTGCAGTAGACGGTAGCAAAGCTGGCACAATGACCTTCAAAGGTACCCAGCACAGGAGGAGCCATGCAACCACCGGCTGCGTCTAACGTGACAGCACAATGACCGGGCTTCCAAGACTATGACTGTCTCCGATTCCGAGATCACGCCACCACGGCCTCGCCGTCTGACCCGACACGGAAGGCTGGCGCGCCAGAGTTCGCCGAAAGTAACGCCTCGGACAATCCCTAGTCTGCATAGCCGACGTCCGGCGGCAGGCGGTCGAGACACGACCTGGCCTGACCGGGCCGGCCGGCTCCGCAAACCACCGGGCCGCAATCATCAGCGGGACGGCATGAGCGTCACCGCGCGTCCCGTCCCACCGCGCTGGGCCCCACAGACGGATGAGCGGCGCTGGGCGCGCCGACTGGGTGCGGGGTGGAGAGGCGGTGCTGGGCGTGCCAGCTGGATGCGGGGTGGAGAGGCGGTGCTGGGCGCGCCGACTGGACACGGGGTGGAGAGGCGGTGCTGGGCGCGCCGATGGTGGTGGTGGTGATTTGGTTTTTAAGGGCGCGTCGGCATCAGGGCCATTTTGCGCCCACTCGATGACGGTTATCTACCTCTGCGACGACGCGATAAGTATGTTGTCAACTAATAACAGGTAGTATCACTGGCGCACTTACACTGAGGGGTGAGTGAAAAAGACGTCAAAGTCAATGTGTGCTAAAAATGCGAGTATATCTCCGAGATCACCACATGGGTCTCGACCGAGTAACCGATGAAGGGGCGCTGGAGGAAAAAATCGTCGCCTCTCCGTCTCAAGGCGCCGGCATGAGACGAGCACATGTTCAACAGACAACCGGTCCCCGCATCTATCACACCGTGGCACATCCCTACGCGTCAAGTAAAACGAGTGTGTTGCATATGTATGACCCAACCGAAGCCTACAAAGGGCGACTTCCTGGAAGCGGCTTCGGCGATGGGAGGATTCCCAATCACCCAGTTGGGGCTTGATTTCCCTGAAAGCGTTAACATGTTGGTCGAACATGTGCTGCAGGGCGCGCCGACTGGGCACGGGGTGGAGAGGCGGTGCTGGGCGCGCCGGCTGGATGCGGGGTAGAGAAGCGGTGCTGAGCGCGCCGACTGGGCACGGGGTGGAGAGGCGGTGCTGGGCGCGCCGGCTGGATGCGGGGTAGAGAAGCGGTGCTGAGCGCGCCGACTGGACACGGGTGGAGGCGGCGCGGGCGGGCCAGGCGGCGCCTCCTGGGAGCCGGAGGTGCCGCCCGCCGGCTGCCACCCGTCAAGCGCGGCCGGACCGCGCCGCCGAAGGCCGAAGCCCGCTCCTCCGAGCCAGCCCAGCGTCTGGTGGGCGGATGCCCGTCACGGTGCCCTATCGCCAGCGGCGGCAGACGGACGCCCTCGGTTCGGGGATCGCTGTCAGTATCTCGGATCAACAGCCATCACCACGTGTGCCACCCCGTGCGCATGCGCAGTTGGACGCGAGTGCAGAAAACGCATCACGCTTGCCCACGATGACGGTTATGCATCCCGGTGCCTCGGCAACACGGTCAAAACCGCCGGCATGGTAGCATAGCAGCAGTCAAAGCCACCGCGTCTCTGAAACACCCACCTAGCCAGCAATCGCCCTTACCCCGAGGAGGCCTGTGGCGCTCCCCTCAAACGTGCGTACACCCAGCCCTACGGCGCTGCCCGAGCACCGGCGGTGCAGCGCCCAAGCACCGGCAGATATCACCGTCCAGCGCTCGTGTCGACGCGGTCCAACGGACCAAACCACTCCGAGCCATGGATGACTGACACCCACTGCGGCGACTCGCTGACACCCACTGCGGCGAATTTACGGCTTGCCGACCGCCGCATCTCTGCCTCAGTTCGGGAGCACAGTGACGACTGGAGCTGGGATGGTTCTGGCCACGGACGGTAACGAGGAACTCGACACGTAACAACGCCCGATACGGCGCTGACCTTTCGAGACAGACAGAAGAGGCATGCCGAGTCTAATGGCTTTCTCGTGCTCACCACCCGACATCAGCAGTAACGCATGCGCTCGATTTGTCCCCTCTGAAGACGCTCCTGCTCGCTCCGCGACCTGGCCACGGCTCATCATCCTTTTGCGGAAACTCTCAGCAGCAAATCTCCGTCACGATCCCGCGAGTGGCCAATCAACGCCTACACCAACGGCTCGATGCCAGCTGTGATCAGGCCGACATCGCTCACACGCTCACGTGACGAAATGGAGGCGGTGCCGTCGACCGCGGCCCGTCACCGAGTCAGGCGCGCTGCCGAGCGTCAGCCGTCACAGTCGCACGGCACGACCACAGGTAATGCCGTGGAATTTCCCAGTCCGTCAAGTGTGGCAACACGGTGGGGGAGCGGGCGCCCAGGTTGGCTGCCCACTGAGCGACGTCGGCAGCGTCAGAAGGAGCGGAACCCACAGCGCGACGTCTGCAGCGTCAGTAGAAGTGGCGGCCATAGAGGGACGTCGGCAGCATCAGCAGGAGCGGGAGCCACAGAGACGTTGGCAGCGTCAGCAGGAGCGGGGCCGCAGAGACGTTGGCAGCGTCAGCAGGAGCGGGGGCCACAGACATCGGCAGCATCACCAGGAGCGGGACCCACAGAGGGAAGTCGGCAGCGTCAAGAGAAGCGGAACCCACAGAGAGACGTCGGCTGGGATACGCACGCCTGCGGTAGTGTTCCGTGCACACCAAGGAGTTTAGTGGAGTTTAGGCGGACGCATCTCGTCAGAATTAAAGCCGGATCATGCTGTTTACTCCGAACTCTACCACAGCACACCCTCTGCTCCCGATACCCTCAAATCGTGCGTTAGGTCTGCACCCGCCGCCTCCTAGATCACAGGGGATGCAGATATGAAAGCAAACGTAGCCTCGAGGAACCAACACCTTCGGCCGATGCGTCTAACACGCTCTGCCCGCTTCCGGTCACCACTCCCTCCTGCAGTGCCGCCGCTAGGCCGGCCTGACCACACCCTGCCGGCTTCCCGGGCCAGGTCACGGGCGCCGCCCCGCCCGGCCCCGCCTGCCGTCGGCGGCACGCGCTAAACACAGAGCGGCACCGGCGGACAAAGAGCCGCCGTCGCGGGGACAGGGCTAGCGGGCCTCACCGCGGCCGGGCGGAGCCGATCGAGCGCGACGTGTTCCTGCCGCGCTCTGCATCACAACCGGGCGGGCCGGACCGGGGCGCCGCCGCACTCCACACAGAGCTCTACATCACAACCGACCGGGCCGGGGCGGGCCAGGCCGGGGCGCCGCCGCACTCCACACACAGCTCTGCATCACAACCGAGCGGGCCGGGCCGGGGCACCGCCGCACTCCACCCAGCGCTCTACATCACAGCCCACCGGGCCGGGCCGGGGCACCGTTGCTCTTCACACCCGGGAGAGTGGGGCGCCACGTGCGTACGACGGTGCCAGATTGCGCTGTTCCGTTGTGAAGCCGTCGGGGGAGGGGAGGCTAGAGGGCTGCAGAGTCGAACCATGATAAAGGTGAAGCGCTTGTACATGTAGGAAGATTGAGGGTGGAAACACGTCGACAAACCTAACGTTGCGAAATAATCTACTAAGAGCAACTTCGATGCATTCAAACTTGCCACTTGAGAGAGTGGCATTGTGTTGTGAAATTACGTGCCCAACACGCACGAGGCCAGCACAGGCGGCTGACAGCGTTCGGATGGGCTGGACGGTACGTGCCCACACATGACAAACGCACGTACGCGACAGAGTGTGGCAGAGATACCGTCGCCTCAGCGAGCCGTTCATATGGTCGTCCGATGTTCACTCGCGTCACACTGGGAACTCGAGAACAAAATGTCGGCTTTGCATTAAATATTCGGACGGGCACGACAGCGCGGTCTCCAAAGCTGCCGAAACGCAGTTAACCATCTGCCGAAATCCAGCGAATGCTGATATAAATCAAAACCAACACAATCGATGGACTTGCCCCAACAGACGCGCTGCCTGACACAACAGCCCACATTCACAAATATTTGTGAATATCCAACGCGAATGAACAGCGCACCCCGGAGAGGAATGGGTCTTGACCCACCTCTCCGGGTCCAATCCCACTGTGTGCTGTTCCGGAGGCGGTGGCCCTCGAGCGCTGACCAAATATGCTTGTCAGTCACCTGTCACCGCGTCCGGAACACCCCGGATCCGACGGGGCCGACGCTGGGCGCCCAGCAGGGGCCTAGATTAGCTGAATGAGATGGGAGTGGGGGCTGAGCAGTGAAAAATGACGCAACCTGTCCCAAAACACGCCAACGGACGGTGTTTTCTCCGAAGTTGGTTCCCTTCCTCCTCGAAGATGTGGGGGGAGGGTGGCTGAATTCTGCATTGGGAGGGGGGGGGGGGGGGGTGGAGCCCACCCTGCTTAATAGGAAATTACAGCCCTGGCGATCATTCTCCAATCCCACACCGGAAGTGGATCGTCGATTGGCACCATCCGTGGGCCACTGGCGCCCCTGCCACTGCCCACGCACTGCGGCCACGCATAACCCGCTGCTATTTTGCCAGCGACACCCGTCGGTCCGTCGGGCTTCATGTGACACACAGCGCTGATGTGACCTGTCACGGCAGCGCCAGCCGGCCTCGCTCGCAGAGGCTCGCCGTCCGCCGCCGGCGCCACGTAACGGGCGTCCACCCACGTCGCCGCCGCCCCTCCCGGCCGCGTCTCCGTCCGCCGCCGCGGCGGGCGGTGACGCGGCGAGGGAGGAGGGC